CGCCGTCCTCGTAGTCCGTCGTCGTTGTCGCCGTCGTCGTCGCTGCCGCGCGCGGCACGCGTGACCGCAGCAAGCAGGCACTGCCAATGCAGGGCAAGCGGTTGTTGGAACTGGAGGGCGGCACGCACGACCTCTTCACGTACAAGGACGACGGTCGCACGGCCACCCCGCGACCCAGACATGATTGCGTCGTGAAAATTACGACGGGGGGTTTGGGCTGTTTTTTCGGCCCGTCTCGGCGGTGTTCAGCTTCGCGATGCTTTCCAGCGGCTGCGCCTCGCCGAGGGTGTTCTGGGGCTGCATGGGTCGTCCCGAGCGACGCCGGAGATCCGACTGTACGAACCGAAAAACACCGCCGTCGTCGCCGTGGAAAATCACGACGTGCGTTTGTTTTTGTTGCTCCTTTTTTTTGTTTCTTCAGTTTTCGGTCTCCGAGGGGATCCCACAGGGTCAAGGGACCTTCAACAAAACGAATGGGGATGGAAAGCCGGCCATGGGGAGGAGGAGGAGGAGGAGGAGGAGGAGGAGGACGAGGACGAGGACGAAGACGAGGACGAGAACGAGGACGAGGACGAAGACGAAGACGAGGACGACGGACAGGAGGAGGAAGAGGAGGAGGAGGAGGAGGAGGAGGCAAGACTCGACCCAGAAAGGTCATGCAGATAAATTCAAACAACCCGAGGACCCCCCCAGTCCCTGACCCTATCGCCCCCACGCCAAAGCGAGGAGGAGCCAGCGATCAGGGGTCGAAAGGGTCATCGGATTGAGAGGCCACGCGGCCCTGCCGACAGGGCGCCAGGGCCTTCGTCCTGGCCTTAAGAGCTCTCGACCCCAAGAGCTGGGCTTGGGCCAGCTGGAGCCCAAAAAGCGGGAACGCCTCCAGAATCGAAGGCCCCTTCGGGCCCTCCGATGGGGTCTCTACCCTTGGGCACCTCGGAGCGCACAGGGGAAAAGTGCTCGGACCAAAACGAAATCTCGGCCACCGAGGGAGACCTGAGCTCGCCGAGCTTCTTCGCACCCCCTTTCGGATGCCTGCCCAAGGCGATGTTATCATAATTCTTACTATTCGGAATCGGGCGTCCTGGACAGTGGTCCTGGAGGCCTCGTCCTCTCCTGTCCGAAACAAAACTTCTACAAGTTGTGCAGAACAGAAGGACCGAATTTTCATCTGCCTCTGGGAGGAAAGGCGCCGCGAGCAAGGAGTGCCCGCACACGCGCCACGGCCGCAGCGAGCCGTCTAGGCCAGGCAGCGGACCCCCCCCCTGTGCAAATGGGGTCCGCGCTAGCCGACGGGGCCGTATCCTCCTCACAGGCCTCGGCAGGGTCGACGGGCCACTCGCCCAGGTCAATGATTTCCAGGGCCTTGACCCCCATGGAGTCGTGGAGGCCCGACACTGCGATGTGCACCTGCGCTGCTGCATACCTCGCTGCGAGGCGGGCGATGAAGAGGCAGCCCTCGATGCAGTAGATGTCCTTGCATCCCGCTCGGACCGCAGAGGCCCCTTCGTTAGCTCAGGCGTCGGCCAGGGCGTTGCCATCGAGCTCGAACTGAGTAATCAGCCCGTCCCTGACTGCCTGCTGCTCCAGGTGGGCCCTAACCTTGATGACCTCTGCGTCCTTGTGCCTCTCCGCCCGTCCAGCCCAGAGGTGGGCTCGCTGGCTTCCCGCCGCTGCCGCCGCCAGACGATTGGCAGCGCATCGCCTGTCGCAAGGCAGTCGCAGTAGAGCTTGAAGGAGCCCCCAGCAATGGTGTCGGTGAGGACCTTTACCGCGTAGTCCTCTCCGTCTCTGGCCAGCTGCTCAGGTCCTTCAGACAGCGGGACCGAGCCCCACGCCTCAGCGACCAGCCTGCGGTGCTTGTCAAAAGACGATGATGGACCAGCCAGCTGTCCTCAGGCTCGGGTTGCTCTGGCCGAGTCCTGAGCCGTCCACGAAGACGTGCTCCCCGTCGGCGAAGGGCCCAAAGTTCGGCCAGCTTGTCGTGTGCATGAAGAAGTCGGAACGGGGCCTTCTCTGGACCAGCTCGGAGACGTCGGGAAACAACCCCTTAGCGAACAGCTCCGTGAAAGGGTAGCCCAAGAGCTCGACACGTGCAGCTGCGTCCCGCAGCAGCGGCTCCAGAAAATCGCGCCTCCAGCCATCGTGAACCTCGCACCTGAACCGTCAGTGGGAGAGGGGGCCGAGTGGGTGGTCGCAGAGTTGGCAGCTCTTCGAGACGGAGGGGTCCTCCGCCCCTACCTTTGCCTGGCACCAGTGGGTGTTATGGATAATGCAGCGCATCGCCCTTTGGTGGTGCAGGTCCCACACCCCAGAGCGGTGGCTGACCAGGTCGAGGACCGGCTGCCAGAAGGGTGGAACCTCCCAGCCCCACATGCCGGAGCCGTGTCGCTTCACCTCCTCAAGCCCGATGACCCGTTGGCAGCCCTGGAAGACCATGTGGCCGAAAAAAACTGGCGAGTAGCGACGTACTTGGCATTCGTGACCCAGCGCGTCATGGAGCCTATAGGGGTCGCCGTCGGTGCATCCCCAGCCGGCCCGCTCGAGCGTGAGCACCGCGGTGCTGATCGGCTCTCTCACCAGGCGCCAGGGGCGCATCCTCTTGGCGTTGCCCAGGCCAGCGGCGAGGCAAGAGCGGGCCGCCGCCTCGGGGGGCAGGGAGGCGCAGATCATCTCGACGTGGGCCATCAGCGCCGTCGTGGTGACGATCGTCAGGGGGCCCCGCTTCCAGCCGCCTGACTGGCCCAGGCTGGCGAGCCCCAGGGCGGCCCCGCGGGCCAGTCGGCCTCTCGCCTTGATGGCCCCAGCGCGCAGCTGACGGAGGCGTCCGTTGCGCACCCCCCATGATCGCCGAGCCCCAACAGGCTTTCGCTGCGGGGCTAGCTCTGAAGACCCTGGCTCGGTTGATCGCGGGACTTAACGGCCTGGTGAGCTTCCTCCCTTGGCACCGAGCGGCTCTCTCACGAGCCGATGAGGTCGTTGCGCGTCCTGCGCCGCCGCCCAGGCCTCCGCGCACGTCCACGAAGTCGCCCTCCGCGAGGTCCCAGCCAGGCTGGCTCCTGAGGGCGTCGTGTAGTTTGCTGGTGGTAGCCAGCGCCTTGGTCTTGTTCCTGCTGAGTGGCAGGTTGGCCTCCTCCATCTTCGCGCAGAAGGCGCGATGGGCAGCGGCCAGCTGCTGGGCTACCGCGGTGCAAGGCCCAGTCGCGTGGCTCGAGACATCGTCGACCACGTTGAGGATCCTGGCGATGGGGGCCGCCGTGGCCGCTGCCCTGAGTGCCGAAATGAGGAGGAGCTTGGCCAATGCCGTCGCGCACGAGCAGCCTGCCACCACCGCGCCATTCGCATTGACGGCGCCACTGAGGCAGGTGCCGACGCGGGCCCTCCGACGGGGCCCGATAGGTGCAGCATAGCGCCCGCAGCAGCCCCAGGTCGAAGCCCCACGCCTGCGCCGCTACCTTGAGCTCGAAGTGCCCGATGTGTTCGTAGCACTGGGATAAGTCGGCGTAGGATGACCCAGCTTCCTCGAGGGAGGACTTCGCGTGGGCCGCGAAAATGTTGTGGAGCCAGGCTGCCTTGTCACGCCCTCGGGATGAGAAGTTGCCCCAGAAGGCCTTCTGGTCGATGGGCCGCACCCACTTTGCACATTCCCTCTGTCGCATGCGGGGCCAGATCCTGGCAGGCATCGGCATGGGCCCGATGGGCCGCTGGCCGCCGTCAGGCTTCGGGATGAAGACCACGATGATGGTCAAGAGCTCGCCACGCTGAGGGTTGCGCCCCCCATGAATTGAGCAAGCTGGCGATCCTGAACAGGATATCGTCTCCGACCTCCAGCAGCAGCCGGGGATGGAGGCTGCCCCGCCCCAGGCCCGTGGTTCTGGGAAACTTGCGGGCCACCAGCTCAGCACGATATCGTCGATCGTGGTGGGCTTGGGCGCCCAGTCCCCAATCTCCCAGGCCATGGGGCGTTCCTGATTCGCCCGTAATGGCCCCACCCAGACAGGGAGCTTGTCCTCGAGGGCCCTCTCTACCGCAGGCTGTCCGACGAGGGCAGCGCCAGCGGAGCCCGTCTCGAGGGCGGGCAATGGCTCGGCATGGGTCTTCTTCGAGCCCTCGTGGGCGATGGGCCCCTGCCGCTCGAAGGCCAGCTCGGTGAACTCATCCCGCGTCAACTTGCTGGCCTGGAAGTCCTCTTTGGCAGGTTTGTCCACAATCTGCTCGATCATGGCCATGAGGCGTTAGCCCGTGGCCGTCAGCAGGCTGGCCTCTTCCCAGAAGCTGTCGAGGATGGAGCCGTCGAACGCAGCTGTGCCCAGGCCCTGAAACTCACCGCGAAGGCGGGGGGGCACTTCTCGCAGCTGTCGCCCTCAACGGGACTTGTGCCCGTCTGCCGAGCCACCTGGACCCATCTCCCGCTTGCGCTTTGCTAGGTGACGGAGGGAGAGCCAGCGCTGGGTGATCGGCGAGGCCTCGTCTAGTCTGCCTGCATGCGCGTTGGCCTCGAGCGGGGCCGCGATCGCCCCGATGCCCTTGGCCCTGCCCTCGAAGTAGCGGGCCTCGTCCTCAGGCATGCCATGGGGCGCCTGCAACGCCAGCTCCGCTTGCGTTAACCACTCTTCGATGGGGCCATCGGGCGCAGCGTCGAAAGCAGGCCACGCCAGCGACTCGACCAACTGGTCCCGCCTACCTCTGGCCACGTCATCGGCCACGTACTCCAACTCGAATGCCTTGGGCACCCTCTGGGCCTGCACCATGGGCCGCTGCCAGCAACCATGTAGAACCAGGGAAACCGCCTGATGAGGACCGTTCGGCGTGTCGGCATGGGTCGTGATGGAGCCCACCGTGGCTTCCAATGCCGTCGAGATGACAGAATAGTCGTACCCGTTGCCATTGCATGTAGCTGCTCCTGGGCCCAGCACAGCCACTCCGATGAGGGCTGGCCACCAGGAGTCCAAGAGCTCCGAGGCCTCGATGTTCCAGTCGCCGCCCATCACGAAGGGGTCGACCTAAAGCGCGCACCACTCGTGGAGGCCGGCGAGCATCTGGCGGTTGGACCCCTGCAGGCCCACGGGATCTTCGAGGTAGATCGAGATCATGGCAATGGTAGTGCCCATGCCCAAAGCGATCCTGCGGGCGAGGAGCTTGCGCTGCTGGCCATCCCAAGGCTGGGCGTATCTCGCCGAGCCCATCAACTACGAGATGACGATGCCAACGCCAGCCGAGACCGAAGTGGCCGCCTCTTCCGTTCTGAGCACCGCTGAACATGCCAGCTGGAGGCCGCATCGGTTGGCCCATCCGTGGGCTTGCTCCTCGGCGGTCTGGGAGGAAAACCGCGTCTCCTGGAGCAGTGCGACGTGCGGCCCGATTCCTTTCCTGCGCATCCACTCGTGGACGCTGGCGACCGAGTTCCAAGCGTTACCGTTGTAGGTGCAGACGCGAAGGTCACCATCCAGGGAGCCCTGCCGCAGCGCCAAGGGCCCCAGGTTGGGCAGGCCCTGCTCGAGTCTGATGGCTACCGCGCCTGCAGCGCCAGGCGCATGTCGTGTGTGCAGGACCAGACTCTGCACTTCTGTGTCCGCGGGGCTTGTCCCAGCTGGGCGTCGGGCCTCCTGGTCGACGCTGCCTCCGTACCTGGCGGGCACCGACCGCCCCCCCGTCGAGGGCCGCGCAGGCAAGGGACACGCGGGGGGAGGCTGCTGTCCGAGCGGCCTCGGCCTCCTCGCCACGTGCCCGAGCATCGGACCAGGAGGGCTGCCCGCCTCCCCTCCGCCAGGGGCGCCGCTACCCTGCGAACTGACCAGCAGCCCCGTCGCCAGCAGCAGGCGCAGCAGGTGCACTGGCCACCTTCTGCTCGGTGGCCCACGGGCGGGCTGCCTCGGCTGCCGCGGCCCCGAGCTCGGCTGCCTGCGCGGCGTGCCCGCTGGGGCCGCTGGCGGGCCCGCCTGCGGCGGCAGTGGTGGCGTCCTCCGCCGCGGCAGCAAGGGGGGCTGCCTGGTGCTCGGCCGCAGCTGCTGCCGCTGGCTCCTGAGCAGAGGCCCCCGCGGGCTCCTCGGGCTGGGCCCGCTCCCTCTTGCGGCGCTTGCTGGCCGCGGCCTCCTCGATGTCCTTCTTAAACCGCTGCAGCTGCTCCTGGCAGTTGCGCTCGAATGCCGCCTGGGCCTCCAGCATGACCCTGTGGCCTTCCTCTCACACCTGGCGAAGGTTGGTCTGGGCCTTCTCCTCCAGCTCTGAAGTTCTCGAGCGTCTCCACGTCGAAGGTGAAGGTGGCCGACTTCGAGGCATCGGGAGTCGGCTGCGCGATGCCCGAGGCCTGGGCCCGACTGCGCAGGAGCTGGGCCTCCTCCGCCTGGGCCTCCGCCGCGCTGGTTGCGACGGTGTCGCGCCGGCCACGGCGTTCGTCCAGCTGCTCCTTAGCCGCCAGCAGGGCGCCGGCGGCCTCGTCCAGCTGGCGCTGGAGGTTGATGCGCCGATCGGTGGCCGACTGCAGCTGCTGCTCCAGCGACTTCTGGGCTGCTGCAGGCGGAGGCGGGGCGAAGTCGCAGGCCTCCGCGACCGCCTCCCGTAGTTTGGCCGCGATGGTCGGGTCGGGGATGGCCGGCAGTTTGTCCAGCTCCGACGCCCCGGGTAGCGACCAGGGGGCGGCAGGAAAGCCGCGGCGGCCATCGACAGCGCCGCCCGCCGCTGCGGCCTTGGTCTTGGGCCCCCCCCCCACCACTGCGGCCTTGGCCTTGGGGCTGGCCTTCGGCGCTGCCCCTCCTGCGCCATTGCCCTCCCGGACTCCATTGCGCGGCGACGGGTTGGCGGGCTTGAGCTCGAGGGACTGACCGCGCGTCCAGCAATGCGCGTTCTTGCGGAAGTTCCACCAGAAGCGGCACGCCGTGCAGGTGACGAACCTTGGCTGCGCCTTCGGCGCCATAGCGGCTTCTGAGATTCGAGAGAGTGGGGCAGACCACTTCTCGTCAACACTGTCGGGTTGAGCAGCCCTGGCACTGGCCGCGGACTAGCGGTATCCACGTGTTCCCCTCTGGAACGAAACACCTTGAGCCAAAATGGCTACGGAGTGAGGAGGAGGAGGAGGAGGAGGAGGAGGAGGAGCAGGAGGAGGGGAGGAGGAGGAGGAGGAGGAGGAGGGAGGCAGGAGGAGGAGGAGGAGGAGGAGGAGGAACAGGACGAGGAGGATGAGGAGGAGGGGGAGGGCGAGGTAGAGGGGGAGGGGGAGGGGGAGGGAGAAAAGGAGGGGGGGAGGAGGGGGAGGAGGAGGAAGAGTTGGGATTTACGGTGGATCCCGTATTTCGGAATTCTAAATTCTGCACAGCGCACGTCTGGGGAGGTCGTCAGCGCCGCCGCCGCCGTCGATCTCGTCGCCGCCGTCGCCGTCGCTGCCGCCAGCGCCGCCGTTGCCGCCATCGTCGACGGCGACCGTCCGCCTCGACGCCGACCCCAGCAGACCGCCGCCGCCCTCTACATCATCCTCGTCGCCTCCGTCTCGACACTGTCGTCGTTCAATCGTCGCCGTTGCCGTTGTCGTCGTCGCGTCGCGTTCGTCGTCCGTGGCTCTGTCGTGCGTCGTCGCTCGTCGGGGCGCCGGCGTGGCCACGCCGGCGTGGTGGCCACAGACGGGCGGGTGCCCGCCAGGGAACTCGGCCGGGGGCGGGCCGCCGCGCCGCGGGGCGCGGAGGCGGGCGCCTCTGCAGCTTCGGCGCCGGCGGCGGCGAGGGGCGACCCCTGTTGCACGGCCGTGGGGCGCTGGAGGTAATTCTCTCCCTGCGGCTGTTTTTGCTCGGCCGTGCTTGCTCCGCGCTTCTTTGTGCCAGCGAGGTGCTACTAGCGCAAGAGGTGGCAGCTCCGGTGCTGCCAGCCTGGGATTGAGCGGTGGGCCCGTAGAGTCACGGCCAGTAGGGGTCAACACATCTCTTCCGTCCCTCCCAGGGGCATGGCCGGCACTTTTCAGGAGAGGAAAACACAGACACAATTAACCTTCGATTCCCCAGATAGTATGGGAAAATATTGGAAAGGAGGAGAGTTCGGGGCGGCAGGGGCCGCGGGGTCACATTCCGCAGGCCACTTTCTTCAATTCGCCAGCTTCATGTGATCGAAGTCAGGATGATCACGTTGGCCCGTGTCTACTGCCATCGCTGCGCATCGAGCAACATGCTCGGGTGGGGTATTTTGGGGTGGTTTTCGGAAGTTGTTCTCGGTGCTCGGCGGTTTTTTGTTCCAGCCTCTGGGGTGTTTTCCAGCAGCTGCGCTTCTTACGAGCGTTCCGGGGGTGCCCTGATCGTCCCGAATGACCGCCGGAGACCCGCAGAGTTGTGACCCGAAAGCCAGACGACGAGGATCTCTGGGGGGCATACGCTCGCGCGGGGGACGCGTCGACCCCCGATCGCCCAGTGGCCCCACGTGGTTCGGGGCCCGCGGGCCCCCGCGCCCGCCCAGGAACGCGCAGATTCGCTATCGGGGCCCTATCGCCGTTCTTTCGGCGATGTCTCGCCGATTCCGAGTCGACGCTCCCCCCCTGAGCTGGTCCCCCTTATCGTTGCTCCTCGCCCGCACCCCCGTCCCCTCGCCTTCCTGTTAGCCGAAGAAGAAATAGCTGCGCGCACATAAGCTTTGAGAGCGCGTGGGGTGGTGAGTTGACTGGTCGGGGGCGAATCGGTCCTCGTGTCACCTTTGCCGTTGTTGCTCCCGAGCTGTTCGGAACGCAGCAACTCAGTTAGATAGTCCCGCGAGTCGTTCTTTCCCCCAGGGATTCCAAAGGAACGTTTTTTCCATGGCGTGATCGTTATCAGGGACTCCAAAGGAACGATCATGGCATGATCGTTACCAAGTATTTCAAAGAAACGATTTTCCATGGCGTGAGCATGAGCAGGAGGATAGCGTCACAACCTGCCTGAAGGAAAGAGAGAAACAAAACGCTTTGAGGGTGCGTGCAGAATTCTTGGATCGGCGTAGGGCCCCCTTGGCGGCGCCTCCAGCGCCGCCCCTCGCGCACTCCGTGGGCAAGGAAGGGGGGGCCAAGCGCAGATCGAAGAATCCCGCGCGGACCTCCGAACGTTTCTGTTCGTGCAGTGTGTTCCTCCTCCGCTCAGGAAAGCGACTTGAGACAGCGGCAATTGACTTTGTCATCGTTTCCTTTGTCATTGTTTTGCCGATCGGCGCGGGCCCTTGCACCTCCCCCCCCAGGGAGTAGATCTTGGCTGTTTTTGTTGCTGACTGTTTCAAGCAGGTGGGGTGTCCCCCACAGGACGTACCGTTGCAGAGAGTCGCATCCAGCGGAGCTCTGGAGCCAGAACCCCCTCCCTCTCCCCCCCCTTCCGCCCAATGTCGGAACGCCGACCGAGAAAACGTTCACTTTCGGGGGGGGGCCTCGTTGCCACGGCTGGAAGAGGTCCGGGCGCAGCTCTTGCCGTTGTCTCGACTCGCCCTGCCCCGATGCCCCTCCTCGTCCTCCGCCGGCGCGGGCACCCATCCGATTGGCTGATGGACTGCGTGGGCCTCTACAGGTCCCAGATCCACCCCGCCCCTCCTGGTCTCCCATCCGAGTCCTCCGCCAGCTTCGAGCTGTTCGAGGCACGCTTCTTCTCACGTTGCCACGGTTGCATTAGCACTGTCAGTGGATGGCAAGTGGAATTGTCTTGTCGTCCACCATCGTGGGCTGTTTGCCCGAGTAGCAAAAGGGCTGCTTGGGCTTCTACAGGTCTCCATCTCGCCGCACTGGCGACGCCCCCAAAGTCGTAGCGAAAGCCTCCGTTTGGCGCGCCGCCGACGGTCTTCGCCGGCGAAGTGGCGTCAGTTGAGCTCGTCATCTTCCCTCGTTGTCCGCCCTCCTTCCCCGCGCGCCCCTCAGCTCGTTCTCTTTCCCCCCAGGAGTGCTCGCGCCCGGGAGCTCGTGCTCGGGCCACGGGGGTTGCCGCCCGCCCTGCCGCGGGCGCCTCCTGGGCGCTCCCGCCGCCGGCCGGGTCGGTTGGGGCATCGCCACATGGCCGCCCGTGGGCGCCTTGCGGGTTCCCTGTGATTGCACCGCGCAGCCCTCCCCCCCGCTTGTGCCGCCTGCAGAAAGTCCGATTGCACCAAAAAATGTGCGCGATAAAGCTTGCGCGACAACGCGCGAACCAGACACATTGCCCAACGTAGCTTCCGCAACACCTTTTCCGCGCCACAGTGTTTCATTAGTGCCCGAGCGTCATGCAAAGACTCACTGTTCGGGGTCCGCGCTACCGCATCTTTTCGTTATGCATTGAGCGTTCCGCCCTCCCGCGGCATGGGCGCCGACAAAATATAGAATTCGCGAAGAGTTTAGGCAAAGCCCCGCGTGGCCTTCTTCCCGGCACACTCGTTCCACCCCTCTAGCGCTCTTCTCCCTCCTCCTCGCCCTCCTCGCTCCTCTCTTCGCCATCCCCCTCGCCCTCCTTCCCCCCTCCGCCATCCTTCCCTCCTCCGCCCTCGCCCCCTCCCGTTGTTTTCGCCCCCCCCCCCCCCCCCCTTCCTTGCCAGCCTCCCTCTCCTCGACCTCCTACCCTTCCCTCTTCCTCCCCGCCCCCCCTGGGTCGTCTTCGCGCTCGCCGCCAGCAGCGCGCGGCGAGGAGCAGTTGGTGGAGGAGGTCACGCGATTCATCGTCGAGTGCGCAGGCCCACGACCCATGCCGTCTTGGGCCACCGAAGACCGTCGCCAGCATCATCACTCTCCTCATCCCCATCGACATCCACATCCCCATCATTTTCTTCAGCATCTTCATCCTCATCATCCTCATCCTCATCATCCATCGCCGCAGTTATTCTTGCTCTTTTCACTGCCGTCGCGCGGCGGTCGTTTGACGCTCGTTGGCCTGGGCGTGCGGGGTGCCCGCAACGAGGCGTTCGAAACGAGCGGCCCACGTCCCTCCTTCCGTCTGGCTGCCCCCCTCTGCCTCCCTCTGTTTGCATCCCCTCCTTCTGCTGCTGCCCCGCTGTCTTCTCCGCCACGCCCCGCTCCCCCCCTCTCCCCCTCTCCCCCTCCCCCCTCTCCCTCTCCCCCTCCCCCTTCCCCCCCTCTCCGGCCCCCTCCCCCTCGTCCTCCTCATCTGTCCTTGCGCGTTCGCCTCCTTCGACGTCTGCTACAGTGTCCTCCCAGGCCTTCTCGTGCTGCGGTTCTGTTTGGGCAGGTCATGCTTTAGTTGTCGTCGACATGCAGCGCTGAGCCTCGTCGTTGCGAGTATGGGCCTCTCCCCGCTGATGTTAGGTATGTGTCGTTGTTGCGTGATTTTTTAGTTGTTGGTAATAGTCGGAGTTGTCGGTATTTTAAGATGTTTCCATTAGTAGAGTTTCAAGGGAATTGTCTGGAATGTAGGTTGGGGCGTTTCCGGATTAGATGCAAGAGCGCTGTCGTTAGTGCTGTTCGGGGCAGCTCAACGTGGTACACTATAAATGTGTATATGTATATGTATATGTATATGTATATATCGGTATTGCACATTGTGAAGCACACTTGAAGCGTGCTAGATCTAAAGAGCGCACGTCTTTCCAGTGTGTTGTCTATATAGATATATACACTTATAGATAGACATAGGTATCCTCACAAAGAGCTTGCAAGTCTAATGTTGTATGGCACAAATCCAGGGAGGGTTATCCGGTTCGGGTTGTCTGTGTGGGGGGGTGTCCGCTTCCTCGCGGGGGTGTCCAACGGGTTGTCCGGGCCGTGCAGGTTTGCCAGCGTACGCACACGCCTTAATCATGGAGCCTTCAAGTTGTAGGAGGCAGTTCCAGCCGCGAGACCGGGGCACAAAGACATGCTCAAAATGTGGAGGTACTCTTGCCACTTTCGTTTGAGGCAGCTTCGTAAGCCTGGGCTCACGCATGCCCAGATATGAGGTGGTCCTGCCAGTTTCGTCTGCGATATCCTCTCAAGTCTGGGCTCGGAGGTGTCGCCCACGAAGTGGT